CTCTGGGATCCTTTCGAGATCACCGCTATCCCAGAAATTTATTTCTCTAATTCCAGAAAGCCCGGCTCCTTTTCTCTCTAGCCCGAAATTCCATTGTCGTCACCACAGACAGACATTTGGTTCCGGACCAGGAAGAGCTGGAATACCTAGGGGCTTGTTCAAAATGCAGAATCTCGGCCCCCAGTCCCGGGACCGAGGGAATCAGAATCTGCGTTTTCATGAGATCCTTTGGGGAATTGGCCCAGAGTTGGAGAAGGGCTGGACCCAAAGCATCCAGGCTTGCTGCATCCTGAAAAGCTGCCAGCTCGGTTTTCGGCCCTCAGCTCGCCACTCTCTCTACCCGCCGCCCCCCCCACAGCCCTCCCCCTCACTCCCACACTCACTGCTGCCTTTGCAACAAGTATACCCACGTCGTAGCTATTTGTTCCTCTACGTTAATGTTCTAAAAAACCTCAGCATTGCCTTTAATTCGTTCCCTTCCACCCCTGGCTGGAACCCCAGGATCCTAGCGCTTTCTTTAGCTGGGGATTCCTTTAGCTGGGGATGTGTCCAGACCTTGCTTCACGAAGAATTACGTCTTTCCATGCTATGGGACCACATTACTGACCTTCATTCAGCATGCACAGCAGAGAGGGGTTAAGTGGACGGTGCCAAAAAGTTCTTATTTTCAAACTGGCGATCTCTCTCTACGCTCACACACTGGTGGAGTATTTGCGGTTTGCACAACTGCATGTACTTTGCCCTTTATTATTAGAGAAAATGTTCTCAGATGTTCCCTGAGGAGAGGGGCTGGGAGAGGACCCTCTAAATTACTCCCTAAGCCTTTTTCTGTACGATTGGGGTTTTAAAATAAGTTTCATAAGCTGCCTTAGTGGATGTGTAATATGGAACTTTTGTTTTTGTGTACAGTATGCCTGGTTTCTTTTCAAAAGAGACGATCCTTGGGAAAGGAGATAGCTTGATAAAGTCCCACAGATGTGCTTGGACATTGGAGGTCAAGGAAACCAAAATACACAAACAAAAAGTCCAGCTGTCATCACAACGACCTTGACTTAAGGTCATCCCATATGTGTCAGTGCAGGACTGTGCCTCATGAGGGTGGAGATGGCTGCTTTTGCAGAGGTAGATCATCAGCCTTTTTTGAAGATGCTTCTGGGTGGACTTGAACTTCCAACTTTTTGGTTAGCAACTGACACAACCTTTGCACCCTCAAGAACTGTGACATTTTGGGAGAGCTGCTTCCATGAATTCTTTCTGCTGGGTGGTAGCTACTTCTGAAACTACAGGGGAAAAGAAACCTCTGATTGTCTTTGAAAGTGAAGGTCACAATAGCCTAGGCAGAAGGATAGTTTGTGATGATTTTGATTTTTAGAGCCCAGCAAGCCTGGGGTGAAGCGTAGCTGTATGACTTGAGGCAGTTCTTTAATGCCTGAGTCCACTGGCTCATTTCCGGAATAGAATTGTGAGGATTACATGAAAAATGACCTCATAGAGACTGGAACACAAACGGTATAATGGTAACATTTGGTCAGATGATAATTTTTAGGATATAACCTCCATGTTACCCCAATGTGGAGCCTATCGGGGTCCTGGTAGAACGAGCCCAAGAAAAAATTCCAGGTGGGAAGAAGCTGCCCATATGATTTTATGTTTTCCTTGTGAGATAGAGGGGCGGTCTCCAATTCTACCTGACACGATTCAGAGGCTTTGATTCTTTAGTTTTCCTTTTTCAATCTCCAACTTTCACATACATATGAGGCAATTGAAAATACCAGGACTTGGATCAGGTGCACTTTAGTCCTTAAAGTAACAACCTTGCTTCTCAATACCCTAAAGAGATCTTATGCAGCAGATTTATCCAGTCTAATGTGTCCACCGTAAACCATATGATTTTCCTGGTTGAAAATGGGCAGTACCAGTTCATTTAGCTCACTAATGCCTGAATTCCCTTTCATTTGTGACAAGTTCCAGTTTTCTTGGATTCATCTTTGGCACATTACATATTCTGATTCTTAATGAATATTTACAGCGATTTCTTCTAATTTTGAATTGGGGCCACATCAGCTAATGAAGGTCCCCAAATGTGCTCCTTTCAAATAATCAAGATTGACTGTGCTTTGAGGAGGCAGCTCTTCCTGAGTAATATAAGTGTCTTTCAACCTGAGGCGCTCATGTTCTGGCACTGTCTTAAACAATGCTTTGCTCATTCATAAGGCTTCCATTGACTAAATGTTCACAAGTAGGTTGCCTATTTATTCTTCCAAGATTGTTTTTAGACTAGAATCTCTGTTGAAATCTGTCTACCATGGGTGACCCTTATGGTTTTTGAAATAGTGCTGGCATAGTTTTGAACACCACAAAAACTTTTAAATTACCGCAGTGTTACAGACTAGCAGGAAAAATATGTATCACAGTTGTAACATTTCTTCACATTTATCTGTGTACACTAAGCAAATAATATGAGAAGCTGGATTATAGGAACACAGCCTTAGGATTTGAGGGAGACTCATCAACAACGTAGAACGTACAAATGAAATAACCTGGCTTGCTGAAAGTGAGGAGGACCAGGGGCACTTGTTGATGAGCACCACACATTGCTGCCTCCAGTATGGATCAAACTCAATGTAAAGAAAACAAAAACCCTCATAACTGTACCAATAGGTAACATCTTGCTAAACAGCAAAAAGATTGAAGTTGTCAAGGATTTAATTTTACTTACATTCACAATCAATTCTCATGGAAACAGCAATGAAAAAAATCAAAGGGCATATTGCATTGGCCACTTAAAAAGGTTAAATGTTAAATGTTAGTTTGAGGACTAAGATGCATGTGACCACACTGTGATATTTTAGCATGGAAACTCTGTATAGTCACTATGTGTTGGAATTTGCTCAATGGCAGTGAGTTTTTTTGGATTGGCAATATAGCTAATTGTCTTTTTTTTTTTTTGGTCAGGTAGTTGCTCAACGGTTTACAATGTGCATCCCTAACTTATCATGGACTACATTAAAATGATACGAATTCAGGAATAATATATGTATCTTAGAACTCTATCCTTCCATTTATGCTATAATTCCCATGCATTTTGTTTCACCATAGGTTTTAAGCGCTGCAATATATTATTATTATATATTTAACATTATATAAAATGTTAAATTGAAATATGATTTTATTATACTAGTGGTGAAAGTATACTCAGCAAGTTTATTTTCATTTGCTTATTGCCATACAACTTGGGCAGGGGAATTGGTTACGCTGACACAAGGCATTCAGCATTTGCTTTAAATGTTTTATTGGTTGTTCCCATTCCCACCACCCTCATTTCATACACTTATGTGGAAGACTAGTTACTCCAATTCTTTTGCACACTTAGATACCATTCACTAATGCCACATTACTGTAAGTTGATATTTTCTAACGTTTGAAGTCTGATATTGATCAAACACACAATCAAGATGGATTGATAATTACTGGTGACTGCAATTCAAATGTTGGAAATAAAGAAGGAAATATGACCCCAGAGATAGAAATGAAGCTGGAACTTGTATGAGTTCATTTATTGTGCCAACCTGGCCAATAAACACATGTGGGGTTAATTGAAAGGTAGAGGGATAAATGGCTCAGTGAGCCTCACCTTTCTTGTTCTTGGGTCTCTTGCTTTGCGATGGTTGCACCAGGGTGCAGCTGCCTTAGCAGTTCCCTGCTTCAGCTTGCAAGGCTGACTTCCAGCAAGACATCCTCGAGGAGAAGCCACATGGACCTACCCCAATGCAGTCCTCGGTGCTGGAGCAGCCGTGTGGAGACCCCTGCCGGCACTGAGATGCTTACACATTCACTGACTCGGCTTTCCCGCTGCAGTTGGCATCATTGCATCTGTTTTGTGAGATGGAGGAGGTCTTCGTGGATTGGTGTTGGACATATAGGCTAATGTTGG